TTTATCTTTTGTTTTTTAACTTTTTTTTATCTTTAATTTCTATTCTGTTTTATTTTATTCGTTCGTTCATTCATATATTTTTTAACCTTTTTTTTTTACTCTTTAATTTCTATTCTGTTTTATTTTATTCGTTCGTTCATTCATATATTTTTTAATCTTTTTTTTACTCTAATTTCTATTGTTTTATCTCATTTGTTCATTCATTCATATATTTTTAACCTTTTTTTTTACTCGTTAATTTCTATTCTATTTTATATTATATGTTCGTTCATTCATATATTATTTTAACCTTTTTTTTACTCTTTACTTTCTATTTTGTTTTATCTTATTTGTTCATTCATTCATATATTTTTTAACCTTTTTTTTACTATTTAATTTCTATTCTGTTTTATCTTATTCGTTCGTTCATTCATACATTTTTAATTTTTTTTACTCTTCACTTTCTATTGTTTTATCTTATTCGGTCGTTCATTCATCCATATATTTTTTAACCTTTTTTTTTACTCGTTAATTTCTATTCTATTTTATATTATATGTTCGTTCATTCATATATTTTTTAACCTTTTTTTTTACTCTTTAATTTTTATTCTCTTTTATATCATTCTTTCATTCATCCATATATTTTTTATTTTTTTTTTATATTTAATTTCTATTCTGTTTTATCTTATTCGTTCGTTCATTCATATATTTTTAACCTTTTTTTTTTACTCTTTAATTTCTATTCTCTTTTATATCATTCGTTCATTCATCCATATATTTTTTATTTTTTTTTTTATATTTAATATCTATTCTGTTTTATCTCATTTGTTCATTCATCTATACATTTTTTAACATTTTTTTTACTCTAATTTTTATTGTTTTATCTCATTTATTCATTCATCCATATATATATATATATATATATATATTTTTTTTTTTGCAATTTGGAGAGTGACTTAATCCTCGTCGTCTTGACCCCAGCAGACGTGGCGGCAGCGGAGGAAGCGAAGGGACGACAGACGAAGGCAAGAGTGACGACAATGACGACGACGACCACGACCACCAGCATCACCACCTCTCGTCCTCTTCTCACAAGACGACGCATCACCACCAGCAGAGGTAAGGATGGATGGTCCTCAATTTTTTTTTTTTTTTTTTTTTTTTTTTTTTTAAGGTTGGATGGGGGGAGTATAAGACTACAGTTTGGTTGTTGGATGGTACGACTTTATGGTTTTGGATAGCACGATTATATTTGCTTTTTTGATGGTACGACTACATTTCTGTTACTGGATGGTACGACTACATTTCTGTTACTGGATGGTACGACTACATTTCTGTTGTTGGATGATGTAATTACCTCTCTGTATTGACTACTTCTGTGTTGTTGGATGAGACGACTTCTCTGTTGGTATGTTTTACGACTACCTCTCTGTTGGAGGATGATGTAACTACCTCTTTGTTGTTGAACGTAACGACCCTTCTGTAGGTTAGATGCGGTACGACTACTTCTCTACCACTCATGATGACGAATACTACTCTGTTGTCGGATGATACGACCACCACTCGTGACCACCTCTCTTGGTATTAAATTGGTCTGGCTTCTCTTTGCACGGTACGACCTCTCCCTCTCTTTACGGGGTGTGATGCTCCGCCATTTTTCTCCCACTCTATGATGCCATCACACCTCGTCTCACGGTGGAAGATACATACGATATATATCCCTGTTACGACTTTCCTCTTTGGCTTGGAAATACGACCAATTTTTCTTTCTGCGTTTGGTACCATCCTTTCGCCAGAGCGTATTGATACCACCGTTCCGACTTGTCTTTCGCTGGCTGATCAAAGGACGTAATCTATGTCATGTTTCTCCTTTTTTACCTCAATTTACGACTCGCACCTCTTTCTTTAAGAGAGAAGTACGACTGCTTCTTTATCATATTCTTTATTGTATATTTCGTTAATTCTATTTTCTATTATGCATTGGCTCTCGTGACTAGATGTTTCACGGATTACTGTAACCTTTTCGTTTTCGTGTCAATTTCTGTACTATACGGTGATATAGTGTTTAGGATATTGTACAGTGCGACCAGTCTCCTTTTTATTTCTTATTTATTTATCTATTTATTTATTTATTTAAGACGATCACGATTCTCTTCTCGTTATTATGAATATATATATTTTTAGTTGATTGTATTGATGACGAGAATGTGGCTTAATTGACCGAGTAATAGACCCAATTTGCTTTAGAAATTTCCCGTAAATTACTTTTCTTATCTCATTCAGTTGTTTATCTTTGTAGTGTGTGTTTACATCTCTAGTTTCCATCTATGTATGTGTGTATGTATGCATGGATGTGTGTCTATCAGTCTACTTATTTGTTTCTGTACGCGTACACACACACACACACACACACACACAC